CGCAATCTTTCGTTTTTATCACGACTCACCCCCATGGTACCGGATACTGTTATGCAGAATTCATGATCATAGAACCACACCCTCAGGCTACATACCATAATTGACTGACTTCATTATTGTACTACTATTCATCGTCGCATATCTTATTTTTTACCAGCATCAGTTCATACAATCCCCTTTATTTCATCCTTTTCATTGTCCCATGTCATTATGGTCGTCATATATCACGACATACTGTACACGTAGGAATACAGGTTTTTTTGACCCTTTAAGCTTTAGAGCCGGTTCAACCAGTTTTAAAACTTATTCTGACGCGTGCACGTGATCAAACCTAGTCAGTCACGTGTGGACGCGCCGCATTGTTCGCTTAGTGCTATGTTCGTTTACTTGAGCCTTGTGTCTTTTAATCATCTCTTCATGAATATCTTTAATCTATGGATTTAAACAGCTCTCCTCGTAAGCAGATTCCATTAGCACGTGGGGATGAGACACCTCGTAAACCTTCCGCTCCATCTCTGACCAGACGGGTCTTCTATTGCGGGGTCGTGGTTGAGGGTTGTGATAGTGGCAGAAGGTTGCCCGAAGGTGAGCGGTACTGACGACTCCTGAAGAGTACAATCTGATTGGTGTAGATGTCCAAGATCTGGTTCTATCTCTAGGAGACCCCTGGTTGAGTCAGAATGATAGCCACATTCTGCCTTCCGCAACAGACACATCGTTCTCAGAACACCACCAGCCCGTGAGTGGTACATACTAACCTTTGTCTACAAAGGCGAGACGCTTCGCTTGCTCATACTCAGATGTGGTCTCCTTCATGTCTTAGGACGGTTTGCAGCGTAAACGTGCGCTTACAGATTCGACGGCTCTAACTGACGTGGTTAACGAACTCGTCAATACTGAACGATCGTACGTCAAGAGACTTCAAATACTGAAGAACGACTATGCAGACCCGCTTCGACAATTCTCCCGCAACAAGAACACCGCGATCTTGCCTGCGTATGAGGCTAAAACATTATTCGGCAATATCGACAATTTACTCCCAGTTAATGAGGCGTTCCTACTGGATCTCGAGAAGATGGTTGCACCTGATGGTCCTGAAACAGTTGGAGGTGTCGGGGATGTTGCCCTACGACATTTCAAAGATCTACGAGGGTTTGAGTACTATAAACAGTACTACGTCAAGCGAGAGGAAGCCCAGTCAATATTTGAACGCGAGATGATGAAGAAATCGTCTGGTTTCGCCGCATACATTGACGTAAGTGTTGATGCGACCCTTTTGGGGGCGCTAACTAGACTATTTGCTTCTAGCGCATCAAGTATTCGAACGCCGATGCCAGGAATCGTGTTGGTCTGCGGGAGCTACTCATGGACCCTGTTCAGCGGATTCCGCGATATACGTTACTCTTTCGCACCATGATGAAGTATATGGCGTCCGGAGATCCACAGCGCGCCAAATTGATAGAAGCCGATGATATCGCTAGCAAGATCGCTCTTGCGGAAACAGACGAACAAACCAAGCGAGCAGCAATTATGCATTGCCTCAACGCAACAGTGGATGGTTTTCCTCCTGGCTTGATTTCAATTTCACGACGATTCATTGATTGCATTGATGTCGATGATATTGTGCAAGATGGCTCAGCATCTGCATCGACCTCCGTCTCTAGCCTCGCTCTCAATGTGCTGCATTGTACGCTATTTCTTTTCGACGACAAGTTGATGATCGTCAAGCGACCTGGTAATGGCGAGAAAAGTGGTCGTTCGTTAGCTGGCTTGGACGACCTTGACAGACTGGCGAAGACTGGCGGTTTACCACTGCGCATGAAGAAAAGTGGCTTGAGTTGCAAAGGTGTCATTGATTTACCCGACATCGCTGCTGCTGACGTTGGTGGTGCTGGTGAGTTATCATATGATTGCTACCTTCAGTTTTTGTCATTCTTTCAGACTTTCACGTGTATATCGAGAATCCACCTCAAGACCAAAGTGATCGTTGGTCCGGTCGCTCGTTTCGTTGTCTTTCTGTTGTCTTCCCTCCTGCGCCAGCAAACCTCGACCCTACTCGGACTACCAGCGAGAAGGACCGGTTCCTTGAGAATTTATGGAATGCTCAGGCGAAATATAGGACCAAGTCAGGACAATCAGTTGTCGTGTGCGCTGATGAGCGTGAAGTAGAGTCGAGAGGAGGAAAAGTTACTATGGCTCGCACCTACTTCAATGTATACCAACGAACAGCCTTTTTGCAAGAACCCAAAAAGGTGCGTTTCATTTTTGTGCGCTGACCATTCTGTTTACAATGCGGACGCGTGCAGACCAAGATCGTCATGCATATAGACACGTTGGGGACCGCGGACCCCATTCCATTCGGAATAAACGGACCTCCATATGTGGTGGTCAGAATACAACCTATGGCGGGGGAAATTTCGCGATATACAGTTACCTCAAGCGATCCGTCTGATGAATCGGAGGAAGACATTGTTCAAACTGCAAGGATACCAGGTCGCATCGTCCAAACAAGTCTGTACCTAAATCTTGCTTTCCTTTTGTGATGATTGAGAATTGTATAGTCCATCAATACGGCCTGTTCAAGTTCAAAACTAGCAATGACTCCCGTCCTGCTACCCCAACCGCGAGCTCAAGATCTCGGGCACATATATTTAGCCTGGACGTGATCTCGAGAAATCTATTCAACGCCATACCAGGTTCTTCCAAGGGTGATTTCTTCGGTGGTTCCATTAATAGTCATCGCCGGTCGAAGTCATCTACCAGTCGCTCGTCTATCTATACCCAAACAACAACAACTACAGGCGACGGAAGTTTGACCAAGTTCTCTCGTCGATCCAATTCGACGGCTACTGCTCCAACTTCTTTGGCAGACGATGACTCTCTCTATGCCACCAAATCTTCGAGTTCACGCAAAAAATTGGTCAAAAGAAGTCGTTCACCGGGCACTTGTCGTTCCTCTCCATTGTCCCGGCAGACCTCTCCGTCACGAGATAGTTCCAGAATATCATTCTATAGCGATGGAGAGGAAGAGTTACCAGTTCGCCAGGACCCATCTGACCAAGATTTATCACTGCGTCTAGAACTCGCGCGACGCAACAGCCAGAATCAGCACGGAAAGCAGGCCGCGAAGCCTTCGTTGGATAGATCAGCAGAAGACACCATCTATGAAGGTATGGCAAAATGTGGTATTGGATTTTGCTGGCCTCATCGATACAATGTAGATGCTCCACCTCGGTCTTTACGTCCCACATCTCGAGCCTCTACAGCAGCAAGTCAGCGATCGACGACTCCTCGTCTCACGTCAACATCTCCAGGCAGAGGAACAGGACGACCTCGTTCTCGATTTGGTCCTCGTAGCATCTCCCCATTGCCACCGAAGAGTCCGACCAGTACTCCACCCGATCTTCCATCCATGGATGATGAGCTTGCGTTGGAAGCCCATATTGCATTGGAAGACCACATAGACTCTTTCCAAGACGATTCATCTTCCATTGAGGATGATGCTCCATCTCCATTACCACGCAGTAGACGTCAGCCATTCGTTACGAGTGGTAATATGGATTCCACGCCGAGACAGTCCAGCTCAACAACAGGCAGCGTGGAGCCACTCTCAATAAAAAAGAAGCCATCTACCAGGTCTAGTACATATACTCCAAGCCGTAAATCATACACGAGAATTTCCCCGCTGTCCAAGAGCACGGCGAGGATCGTGTCTCCCCGCAAAGTTTCACCTCAAATTCGAATCGCGCGTGTAGCCCACGCTCCTCATTCTCCCCAAGTTGACCATGCAGACGAACTGTTGCGGATCTCCCTATCTACCAAAGATGATGTACGTAAAACACGTATGTCAATTTGTCAATGATTTCATAGACAACATACAGGTTGAGTCATCACATCGTGTCATTAAACGGATGAAATTGGACCTACACGAGATTCGAGCTAGTGATGACATAGCGAGTCTCGACGAATCACGGAAGTGCTCTTCTCCTGATAAGTCGCTTGCTCGCACCCCACAGCGACCGATTCCCCAACCCATTGTACGTGAATCTATCGTTATTCACAAATTTCACGCTGCGACTGATATTCGTGGATTTAGACCAGGGAAGCACAGCAACGACTAGACGAGATGAGACAATTGATCAGTAAACGCCAGCAGGAGGGCACCCCTTTCAGTCGACCACGAAGTTTTGTGACAGAACTATTTACGCCTACACCACCTGCAACACTGGGTACATCGAACATCAGCCTGTTGAGCGAGTCCGTTGCTGATGCTGACAAGCTCCTGGCTTCTGCTTTGTCAAGCCATGATACATTGCACCAGAACCTTACGCAAGTGGTGTCTGATTTCAAGGAGGTACGAAAGGACAACAACTCTCGAAGTCATGACTCACCTTTTCCGCATAGAAACTATCGGACTTGGAGAAAGCTCGAGTGGAACTTCAGAACACGAAACGTCAATGCGAACTTGTGAAGAGTCTTCTTGCAGATGCTACAGCAGAGAAGGAGATCATGTACGAGGTCTGTGTCACGCATTATAATCGAATTCTAGGAGCTCATCAATATCCCAGGCGTTCAACGAAGAGCTAGATGCTATGTATAACGACGTACATCTCCCGGATGACGAAGCATGGACCAACATGACGGCTGATCTTCGCGAGTCGAAGGAATCGCAGAATGCACTAAGAAAGGAGAACTCGCAAGTATCATGCTTTCCGTTCCATTGATCCTCGACTGAATTTTGTTTCCTATAGACATTTGAAAAGGAGGCTAGCTGAGGTCGAATCTGAAAAAGAAGAGTGCGTATTCGTTTCACTTCGGAACATTCGACACAAACCAACTGCTTCAATTCCAGATGGGGTGCATTGCTGCGGGCACACGGACTTATCCCTTAGCTCAGGGACTATCTTATTTATCTTTTGGCATTCGCTTGTATATTGTTATCATCTCTGCACGCTCACATGTAATTCTGATCATCTCATATCTAGCAAACGTACAGTCTGAAAATGTGTGCCAATCCGACGAATTTGACTTATCGTCACTAGGATGTCACAATTGTCTATTAGAGTGACATTAAGTTAGCTCGAATCGTGTCTTATCACTGTACATCAACAACAAACCACATTCACAACCCAACTACCTCTCACCACAACACACCGTAAGCTTATAATTATCACTATTGGAACTCTTAACAAGTCCCTGTCGATTAGTGGTTAAATCGCCACGTTGTGGAACTCACAATACCGTGGCGCCGCAGGTTCAATTCCTGCCAGGGACATCTTTTTGCCTTCAAAAAAAGATGAAGAGAACGTTGTGTCGAACCACTAGAAAATGATTTTTTCTCGCCTGAACACCTATGACGACACGACGAGGACTTTCATCGCTCAACTTGACGTTCCTCGGAACCGCTTCCGCGCAACCGTCCTTAACCCGAAATCATTCTGCACTTGCTCTCCGATTGAACAGCGATGTCTGGTTGTTCGACTGTGGTGAAGCTACGCAGCACCAAATCCAAAAGTCTAAAGTGAAGATGGGTAAGATTGAAAAGATCTTTATCACTCATACCCATGGTATGTCGTTGTTAATTTCAGCATTGCTTTCCCAGCTGACGTTCACTGGCTGATAGGGGATCATATCTTTGGTTTACTCCCCCTCTTGGCAAGTATGCTGAACGGTGCCGGGGGAACAGCGGATGGAGTAGAGGATCCTCGTACACACATGGTCCAGGACCTATTGGATGTTTGTACATTTGCCGCACTATTATGTTGCCACTGATTGAGGCTTTCATCAGCCCATCGAAATTTACGGGCCCTTTGGAACCAGGGCATATGTCCGCAATGGCCTCAAGTATACACATACCCTCCTAGGCGCGCCTTACGTCGTTCACGAATTGCGGTCACATTCTGACCCACTAGATGGAGACCCCACCTCTCTAGCTCTTCATGCGTCCGAATCTCCAAATGGCCGTAATATTCCACAAACAAACGGTGTTTGGTCAGACGTGTATCACGATACCATTATTTCAGTTTCTGCGGCTCCCATTTTACACTCCGTGCCGTGCGTTGGTTATGTTGTAACAGAGGCGCCTATACCCGGAAAAATGGACCCTGCGAAGTACATACCACATCTTAAGCGTACCAAGACGCCGATGTCCGTTATGAGCCGCCTTCAACAGGGAGAGAGCATCGAACTCTCAGATGGCACAGTGTTACAAGGCCCTCTCAAGAGGCCCGGACGTAAACTTGTCATTCTTGGAGACACATATGATCCATCACCAATAGCCGAATTGGCTTCATCTCCGGACTTGCTGATACACGAAGCAACAAATGCCCATTTGCCAGCCTTGGACTCGCATACCAAAGCTGAAGACACATTTGAGAGTGTCGAGGCACGCACAAAATCCAGAGGGCACTCTACTCCCCAGATGGCTGGTGCTTTCGCGGCACGGATCAGAGCGAGACATTTAGTACTCAATCATTTCTCGGCCAGATACCCGGGGAACGACGATGTCGATCCAATGGCAAAGACAATTATGGAGGGCATTGCACGTTTAGCTGAAGAGCATCATAGCGGGAAAATTACATGTGCGAGGGATTTTATGAGTTTCGACGTGGATGTACCATAGGAACACGCATGAAATAAGTAGCAATGCAAATTCAATCATCTGGTGGGTCAGATAATGCGCTGCTTGCATCGCTTGCTTCTCCTTCTTCCAATTCTTCTCGGGCTTTTTTCGCCTTCACCTTTGGATCTTCTGCAACCTCTCCCATCTCTATGTCGTCATCTTCTTCTGGAGGTCGCAGTGACGAGGGTGTATGCGAACTGGGTGCGAATTCATTGACAGCGGGATTGAGTTTCGATGAGAGCGATGTGCCAATGGACTGGTCATCCTCCCCATCTTCCTTCTCTTCAGCTACCTCGCCCGTCTCCTTCTCATCTTCATCCAATCCTTCATCCACTATTTGTGAGCTGTCACGCATGTTAGGCAAATTGTCATCGGCTTCTGTGCCGTCTGGGGCTGGCGTAGCAGCAGGGGTCCCTACACCTGATGTAGCAGATTCTTTATCTTTGCCCATAAGGCGAAGAGAGCTCAAGTCCATGACGATACTGTCTAAAGCAGTTTTCTGGCCCCTTATGATTCGGTCCTGAGTCTCGTGTTCCGCGTTAATAGCAGCCATGTCATTTTCAAGCGACCGTATCGCCCTGAATGTTATTGAGAAATATACCAGAACATTTTGAACATGACCCACTGCTCAAGCTCCTCGCGACTTGGGAGAGTATTGATCTTCTCGGCAATTGTGTCGTATTCGACCTTTCGCTTGCGTTCCATGTGTGCATGCTCCAGTGCGACTTTCAGCTCCTCAATTTGACTACGCAGAGCATCATGTTCCTTCTCTGCGTATTCATTCCTCAGGCGTCCACTTCCATGCGAAGCTCAATGAACTCACCAATCTTCTCCCGCTCCCGCTGATATTCCTCCACTTGCCTCCGCTCGGCTTCGCATACCATCATGCTCTTTTTAAGAGCTAGTTCAAAGGACGATAGCTCGATTAAGAATGCCTCCCGTGCATCCTCGACTGTTCCAGAAGAACTAGGTGGCACAAGGAGATGGTGTACTAAGGAGGCGTAGTTGTGAAACTTTTTGACCACCCGCCGAAGTGGTCGTTCGTCGTTCGTAATACGCGTGTGTATGATAGCATCTGTTAAAAGCGCGTTGCTTGTCTATTAACATAGGGATCCAGCTTTTAGTATGATTGATTCATGCCTTCTTCTTCAGCAGTTAATGGTGGAATTGGTTGTGATAACTCTGGCACGGTTGATTCTGGGACTGCCATGAACGTTAGCCGTAGTACTCTAACACGCGGGAGTCGGGGAGTGAGATCTGATATCCGAGACTTGGATGCGAAGGGATTGAAAACAGATGAAATTCCGTCATGTTACATCAAGGGCTAAATTGTAACTATATTTAGGACAAGGACAACTGTTCCTTGAACATTGTGCAATGCGGACGAAAATGTAACAATTGTATTGTATTCGAAAATACCAAAAAATGTAAGAGATCATGCAAACGGACAACACAAATAAGTTAACCCCATTCATCTGGCACAAACGGGGTGACTAGATCATAAATCTCTTCGTTACCTCCCCGCCCTCTTGGAGTTTTTCCGCGGTTGATAACGCGTTTAAACATCCCACCCAGACTTCGAGAGGTATCAGAAAAGTCTGTACTGATCGGCCTCCCGTTGTCTCTGGGATAGCAAGAGTCGATATTAAGAGCAAGCCTCCGAAGGCCACTGGAGCTATCGTGAGCGGCCTTCCTGGAAGCCTGGACAGCTGATTGTAAGTACATTGCGAGGTTGGGAAAGTTGATTGGAAGTGTAGGGTATGGAGTGGAAGTCGCGGGAACCACATAGTATTTTGCCATTGGCGAATCAGCCCCATCACGGAGGAGCTGCGGTAGTGGTGACAGAGTATAAGAGTAAGGAAGTACGGTTACATCGCCATTGGTATACTTATGCGAGTTTGTGACTGATGGAGGTACTGGCATGTCAGTCGTCAAATAGATAACTGTTCGCCATTCCGAAGCAGAGTGATGAATCTGCAGTGCCGGTCAGCTTTGGTACTCCGCTAGACAGCCATCCTTACCTTGACAAACTGGATTACAGTTCTCAACTTCAGTTCATCATCTTTTGCAACAGTAAGAGCTTCTATGGTGGGCTCGACGCGAGTCCCACTTAATCGCGCCATTAGCTTCAACAGGTGACGCCAGGAGGGTGACTGAATGTGAAATATTGGTGCCTTCCCGTATGGTAATGTTATAATATTGGGCATGGCCTCTCCCATAGGTGACAATATTGTGGAGATTGATGGTGGTTTAAAGCCCATTGCTGCAAAGTTTTTAATGAGACGAAGAAGAGCGCACGACGACAATACTTACAGACACCCATCAACATATCTGGTTCAACATACTGGTTGGCGGTCAGTATTGGCGGGGATCGAGCGACAGAATCAGTCCCCTCGTCACCCTCTTCCTCCTGAGTGTCTTCGTCAACTGAATCCAATATATCTGTGTGAGATGGCAAGCTGAAGGAAAGAGGTGGACTCGTTGATGCAGTTTGAACCGACATTGTAGGGGTGAAGAGCGAATGGATTTGTTCACTCGATGAAGATCGACCACTCAAAGAACTACTCTCGGAGTTTGCGACAGACGGCTTGCGTGGAAGTGGCTGTCTGGGTGGTGGTAGAAGAGGTTCCATGCTCAGATTCTGCTGTGGCGATGACATTGGATGTGAAGATACAGGATTTGGACCCGGTAATGGGCGAATATAGTCACTCGAGCTCGATCGACAGAACTCGACGGATGTAGAAGACATGGTTGATGTTCCAGCAGTACCACAGCCAGCGTTCATTGATAAATCGTTCGGTTTCAAAATGGTCGAGACAGTATTGTTGTATGATGGTAGTGTTAGAGTGAAGGTTTCTCGACTCGAGATAGTGGCATCAGTTGCGGATTGTATTGATTCTTGACTTTCTTTGCCCGACTGATAGACAGATTTTTCGTCGCAGGAACTCTCGGATGTGGAGGGTGTAATCATGTGCAGAAAGCTTGTGCCTTCTGGGAATTGTTGATGATTCTGGGGGCTGAGGTGGACGTTTTCTAGAGAAACAGGTATGAAAGATGTCGAGGGTTCACCCGAAGAATCCTGATGTCCGTCGAAGATGTTATCAGACACAATCTTGCTGTAACTGTTAGCGAAGGTACGTGATTCTTCCAACGCCTTCATCAGATCTGCTTCTTCCTGAGCGAGAATGTCATCCTCCCGCTGATGCGCCTCTGACTCGGATAACGCTAGCGCTAGTGCGATATCTTTGTCATCGGTGGAAGATTCTTCGCTGAACATCGGTCGGCTAGATGGCCCTGCAATAGGACCAGGAATGGACTGTGGATAGAGCGGGTTGCGCTGTGAGGAAGCAGTAATTGCCATTGGTGGTTTCGGAGGAATAGGTGGTCGTGGAATGGTATGGCCAAGAGGTGCCGTAATTCCGATTGGTTTCTGGGGTACGGGAGGCGATGTTGAGGAGGGATGCTGCCTAGGATAGAAGTAATCGCCATAAAATGACGTATGCGATGGGGATGCAAGAAATGAGGTGGGAGAATTGTATAGAAGTGCAGTTTGTTGTTGCTGAAGACCAGCATCACTGGCGGAAGGCCGTCGACCAGGGGTCAAACTCGCAGGAATATTATGTCTCGTCTGAATACTGAAATTGGCCGAGGGAGGTTGGGATTGAAACGGTGAACCTGGCAATGTTGTATGGCGGGTTCGAGGTGGAGGTGCTCGTCCGTTACTCGTAGATGTCAAACTGAGGGATGGGGAGTGATGAGGAATCCACGATGCTGCACCATCATCGTGCTCGTTAACGCCGCCATATTAAATAAATTGGAACTTTGCTCACACTGTTGATTGTAATGCATCCCAAACCCCCCTTCACTCATAAAGTTTTAGCTGTTTACAGGTTTCCGAGTCAGCGGCTAGTAGCTGCGCTGATCCGAGTTATCAGCCAGCCAATTTTCCTGCGGCAGCCTAAAAGGGCCTCTGCAGAACAACTGCTGCGGAGGGTATCTGGAATCAACCTGGGAGGTTAGAGCGAGCAAAGAGTCTGAATGCACACAGAAGGATGAGTCTGGTGTGAGAGAACACGCGGAAAAGTCATTGAGCGCGCTCGAACTCAGTTCACGCTTAGGACTCGCATCTTTGGACATATTGGGCGCGGTCCCCTATAAACGCCCAAGCTCAAGCCCTGGTCTAAGCTGTGCGTCACGTCGAGTACCTGAATAATGTGCCTTCTGTCGGACAGTACTACTCTTGACATAATTCCTGAATAAATGTCATTGGCAGCAAGATCAATCCAGAACAAAATCCAGATATACAAGCTAAGGCAGTACTTTAACAGTCTAGCGTACAAAATGCAAAGGGACAAATGAATGGTGTAAACATGTATGCTGGGTAAGTGCTTGTGTAGAGTCAAAGACAAAGAATATGCATAGGTGGCACGGAATAATTGCAGTAAAAAAGATAACGAAACGACACGGAGACCGATGCAACGTGAAACGCGAGAGCGTAAAAAGGTCATGATACACGAGATGCAGTGACTTTTGCGGAAAGGCCTTGTACAGCCGAAGTCTTGAATCCAAGTCTCCGCATGACGGCCAGAAGATCAGCCCTCTGCACAGGTTTAGTGAGTGAGGCAGTAAATAAGCTGCTGTCGTTCGTGTCTGCAGCGCTGTAGGCACTGACAGCAACCATAGGTGTATTGGAATTCCTGCCATTAGTTGTCTTGATGTATCGAGCAGCACCCTCACCATCAACTACAAGTTGCGACAAACGTCAGGAAACAGGCACACTAGACTGAGCGTATCACGTACCGACTGGCATGTGTAAATCCATGAGGATACAGTCAAATTCTATGAGAAATTAGACCATAAAACCACGACACGGACATCAAGCCTACTTACTGATATCACCCATGGCAACGCTCATGGCCTCTGACCCATCCGCAACCACGACTACGCGGCAACCAAGACGTATGAGAAGCGTCTCCAGTATTTTGGCGGTTATTGGGTTGTCCTCGGCGAGTAGAC